CGTCAATTGCGTTCTGTCTATTTGCTTTAACAAATAGCTCTGTTCCTTATGCGCTAACAAAGGTGCTAATTCTTGTAATTTCAGAGCTGTACCAGAACCATCCCTATTCAAGGAGGTGGAAGATCCTAAAAGATACCAAAAGCATTTTAAAGGTATATTTCAACTAGATCAAGTTAAATAGACGATATCGTATTCAACGACAGTGGGTTTCCTTTTTATATTGTTATCGTCATTCATTTGTCTTGTTCAAATCGTAATTGCTGACTTCGTTGTTGCGCTGACAAACTTGTCGCAATAAATGTTTAATTACCTATGTTTGAGGTATTACCAACCAAAAAGACAGGAAAGAATCTTGAATCGTTGTTACGGTTGAAGAAAAACGTCGACATCGCTTGTTCGATTGGCATAGATGACGAATAGCTGATAATATTTGATTAATATTATAATACAATTATCAGAGAATATTGGAGATAAAGTTGATCACTGGCTTATTCTCATCTTTTTAAGGAACTTTAATAGAATTTCATAAGGGGTAGACAATGATAACAAATGCTGGATTGAATCAATGCGCATTGTTAATGAGAAAGTTGTATGTGAATTTATAATAACTATATCATCGTTACTCAATACATTAGTTCTTTGTTGAATTGCTTATATTCGATAAATAGATATATTTTGCAATAAAATTATAAAATTGAGAAAAACTATAAGATTGAAAAAAAACAAATTTTCTTTTGTAAGAAAACAATACAAATAAGAGGAAGTATTGTACATTTTTTACTTTATATTATTGGAATATCCCGGGAGAATTATCAAAAATTTTTGATATTTCCTTAAAATCAATGAGTACATCAATAACTCTCTTCAATGCAAAAAGAAAGCAATCACAGGAATTGAAGTCATTCAATTTTGTGGAAATTTGAATATGCTAAGTGAAAAGTTTATGGCGAGATAAGAATGTATCAAATGTCTCTCTATAAAGCATCATTCTTAATAAGATCAAAAAAGGGTGAATAATTATAATGTATTCCTTCCATTAAGTTATAATTATAGGACATTTGCAAATGTCCCATTAATCATTATGTTAACCATTATGGCCTCATTAACTTCAATGATCGAACAAGAACGAATAAGATAAGTTTATGATATGTATGAGACATTTGGGCTTTTGCAAAAAAAAAAAAAAAGTGCAGAATATCAACAGGGAAAGAAAGTAATGCATGGTATTTCTACTTAATGTATTCATTTTTCAGCCAAGTAAATTGATATTAAATTTCAGCCAAGTAAATTGATACTAAGTTTCAGCCAAGTAAATTAGTACTAAATTTCAGCCAAGTAAATTGATTAATCACATTACTGGCGTTTGCGACATCAGCGTACATCATTTATTCAGGTAGGGCTTTCAATATATGAAATTTTAAAATGCTCGAAAAAAAAGAAATCCCGATAAACGATGTTATTTAGCATTCAAACATCTGTTGTATTGAACATTTCACATTTTTCAAAAGTACATAAAGAAGGAAAAAAAAAACAAAGAATGTTATCAGCAACATAGCAGATATTTAATCGATATGAAATGAAATAGAGATACTATTTTTGTTTGAAATAATGAAAGATTCTGATCGAAAGAGTATATAAATAGAGGATGTGATGAATCAACTGGATCCAGTCAAAGAATCATCCACCTAAATTCCCTTTATTCTTCTCCGGTCCAGCGAGAGATGGATGATCCATTCGATGGTTCTTTTTATGCTTACCTTTACGTCGGCTACTTTCTTTTCTCCAGTTTATTTCATGAGAATAAAAAATGATTGCTTGTTTTCAATGAAAAAACAAAATTTGTAAGTAACTTTTCGAAATGAGCCTAAGGATGCATATTTCCTATTAGTACTTGGATCGTTTGATATAATAAGCATTAGGATGGCAAGATTATCCTCACGGATTAAACGGATAATTTCCTTTTTTCTATTCCATTAGTTGAATTTATTAGCAGGCGGGTTAATAAATGTATTCTAACATTTTCCATTTTTACTCCTTGTACTAGGCCAGCAAGGCTTACAGTACCTGTTGCGTCCTTGCCCGTATTTATACTAATTCATTCATATCTTCTGCATTGGTTAGTTGTGTAATTTTGATTTGGTCAAACGTTTTTCGAATTTTAATTACTTTTTCAATTATTTCTAAGTTTAGAAGAATTTGGCTATCATTCAGTAAACTGAACAATGTCACTTTTCCGCTATAATCCTCGCGATTATTTCTATACCTCACCGATGGAACGTTTCATAGTAAATCTCCTCGACAACACATTCGATGACAGATCATATCGATCGCTGCAAAGTGTCGCGCCATATTGGCTACATCAACCGGCACTGAACGAATGTAATATCGGGAACGCGCTTGGCGAGGTAATTGTAACTTTTCATTGAGACTTCCCATATTTTTAGGATACATGGGATATTCATACTAATCACATGGTTTCACATGAAATGTCGTCCTCTTTGTCCTTTTTTTTGTTTTTATTGTCCCAAAATTTGCCTGATCACTTAGTATGTAAGGCAATAGATCGCGAAAGTCTCCTTCGAAAAGTTTCAAATGTTATAATTTCCAGATTTTGGATGAGAAAGACAAGTTTGGAGTTCAAATTGATGTTTCCCATTTTCATCCCAAGGAACTTTCGGTATCGGTTCGAGATCGTGAACTAAGTATTGAGGGTCATCACAAGGAGCGTACTGATCAGTCGGGACATGGTAGTATCGAACGTCACTTCGTTCGAAAATATGTTATGCCAGAAGAAGTGCAACCTGACACCATCGAGTCACATTTGTCCGATAAAGGAGTGTTGACAATTTCTGCAAGCAAAACAATTGCCGGCT